TTGTCGCTGGTTAGTATGACATCCATGGACTGCCTGCCATCTTTAGGCAGAATAAAACTAGCAATTTGATTTAGTAATACCTGAAATTTTCATAAATAAATGTTGAAGTTGCAACCACAACTAATTGAAGTTTTGGCTCAAAATATGACTAAAATGTGTGGATCTAGTAGGTCATTTTCATCTATTAACAACAGAAACCTTCTCTTCTTCCTCATTGGAAGGCACAGTGGATACTAACGACATCTCGATAGAACCAGGTCTTCAACGAGGCAGTGATCCCTGTGATATCTCAAAAAGTTTACATGGATATTGCTTTCACACAATCCAAACAGGGTTACATGTTATTGTTTTTGAAAAAGGTATTTGTATTATGAGAATAGCAGTTGTGACAATGAAAGAATAATAATAATAATAATTTTAATTAAAATACAGACTTATATGGTCAAAACTAATGACCATAAGTGCAAGATCATTATTACCCCTGGTCATTGGATAACATACAATGACAAACAAGCACAGAATGCAACCTTCTCTGGTCCCTGAGGAGAATACCTAGCTACACAACATCCTACCAGGTACCTATTTATTCTCCTGGGTAGAGCAAAACAAACATAAAGATAGTGTCTTGGCCAAAGACACAAGTGCTTTGTACAGCAAAGGTTTCAATATCCCAAACTCAAAAGCAATATCTCTGTTCCATCTCCCCTCATCAAACACCCATTAGAATGTCACTTATACTATAGTGCAACTTCATCTGGTCATCTTATGATTAATTGTTGAAAGGTGATAGTAAAATACTGCACCTGTGTCATTACTAATTAACATCTACTATACTATACAGTGGAATTGAGCAATTTACATTGTGAGTATCTGCAGGTTGTGTACATTGATCATGAAGACTTTACAATAGTCAAGTAGTGAGGATGCAGTAGTAGGCATTATGGCTTCCTCAGTATTTTTAAAATTAAAAAACTATAAAATTTTCATGAGTTAAATTGTCATAATTAAACATCTGCAGCAAAACTAACAACAATAACAAAAATATGGGTTTTTTGTATTTAAATCTAAATTAGTATTTTCATATTATATTTTCTAATATTAGTATCAACATACTGTGCCCTGAAAATAGTATGTTATAAACCATAGGCGGTTCAAAGGTCGCCCTGCCGGCCCGGGCTTCCCTAAATTTTTCAAGATTATATAAAAAATGAAGAAAAAAGATAATCATATTGAAATCAAATTCAAAGTCTTTGAGTGCCATGTCCCACCATCTATCATAAAATTTTGCATCCCCAACCATGGGGGGACTGAGGTGGGTCTAGACCCTACATTTGTCAAATTACCTCCTGGGCCGCCTCTATTTAAAATTACTGGATCTGCCACTGTAAACAGACCATGTCCCATATGATAAAGAATAATAAACTATGACTAGAACATAAATAAATATTGGTAATACTGTATATGAAGGTAAAGGTTACATCCCTTAGGGTGAAGAGAGTTGGAGTGATTGAGTATCTACCCGAGTAATATTAGGTAATTTTTCATCTTCCAAATTGTGTAATGTGGCCATGAATAATATATGTAATTTCCTTATTGTCTATTTAATATGCATTGAATATTTTAATTCTGTGTAGAGTAGATCTGTAATTGGTGGTTAGCCCTTTCCTGTTGTAGGGTGTTGTGGTGACACCCAAATTTAACATTAATGTTAGTGTGGGGTAGGATGTTGTGGTGACACTCAAATTTACCATTAATGTTAGTGTGGGGGTATCACAGAGATGCCCTGAGTATTAATACTATAATTACCTTAGTGTTCTGCTGCCCTCAACATCACCTTTTGTAAATGACATACCGTAAAACCTCGAATAGAAGCCCTGGGCTTCTTGTTTTTTGCGAAATTTGGATGGGCTTCTTTTCAAGATGGGCTTCTTTTCGAGGCTACTTTTGGAAAGTAAAGAGGGGGAGCTTCTTTTCAAAATGATTGCTGTAAATTTTGGGAATTGCTACTATAAAATAATAAATATGGCCTTTGTAACATCAATCTGTATCATAGAGTGTATTTACTGGCATTAAATCACCTAAACTACCGTATAAACCAAGTGTGTTTCAATTTATTTCATTTCTTTGAAATTCATGTAAACAGTGTATGTACCTCGAAAAAAAGTCCATGCTATCTTGAAAAGAAGCCCATGGGCTTCTTTTCAAGATGGGCTTCATTTCGAGGCTACTTTCGCAAACTACAGATGGGGCTTCAAATCAAATGGGCTTCCTCTCGAGATTAAGCCCATTGGCTTCTATTCGAGGCTTTACGGTAATTAGATTTTTGATGTACTGGGTGAAAGTTCAAAGTATAACAAATGACTGTACCCAGTAAAACATTATGATTATTAAAATGACTCCAGCCACACACTATCATAGTGGTGCAGACTGGAAGAAGTAAACATGCCAAACTTACTGTTTAAAGCCCTGTTAAAAAAAACATGCGATATGCCTAAATATGGTCATGACCACATCACATGACCATATATAGGCACATCATGACTATATACAGGCACATCATGACCATATATGGGCACATCATGACTATATATGGGCACATCATGACTATATATGGGCACATCAAGACTATATATTTGGGCACATCATGACTATATATGGGCATACAACAGTTGCTTGTCAAAGAAAATTTGATAATGTGGGCAAAGATTAATTCTTTGTTTGAAATCCTCGAAAATACAGATTTTTATTTCAAAAACTAAGAACTTTAAAGAATATTATAAAAGTTCACTTTGTAATGAGTCACTGTTAGGATGAGAAATAAATTAAATAAACAACTCCTCACAATGCCATAGTTCTCAAGATGGACGTCATTATTGCGTGTTCGTGTGAAAGAAAACCATGCCTGCAAGGAGCTTCATCATCATGGCATAAATCCTCATAATTCAAACACTTTCATTAAATAACATAGATTGCATCGATCAATCTTACTTGAATTACATTAATGATGCACACCTATGTGCAAAAACATTTCAGATATGAAATAAGAAAATAATCTCTTGGACTATAGAGGGCAACATACATTTTAGATTAAAATTGTTCAGACTGGAATATTTGCCAATACATGTCAACTTCATTTGTACAATCTATAATGAATGGCAAAGAGATCTGGAGTCCATTGTGAGTTCAATGAATAGAAAAAACAAAATGAAAAGTTTAATTGAGGAAGCAAGAATATTGATGAAGATTTAAAAGCGTTCTCACTTTTTTCAGCTTAGTAATTAGCGTCGGGCCTCGTAAGTAAACAGGGAGATGAGGAAAGGAAGAATGAAATAACGTTTCTTAATGAAAGTTTTTCATTTCGATGATGTCCACCCTGCTTTACTGAAGGATTTAGGAGAAATAAACAACAATCATGTTGAAGAACAGACTTCTGCAAAATGCAATTATGTTTGATGAAGACATTTTAAGAACATAATCACTTAGGAAGAGTGATATTGTCCAGAAACTGGAGAGATACATTAATGATCTTTGAAAGAAGTCTTAAAAGCACTTTTTATTGACTCCTCGTCCTAGTTTTGATAAAACTTGCATAAAATTTCATCCACGGTATATCCAAAATATAACATGAATTAACAACTTCATATCTTGGTAATACATCCACTTTAAAGTACCTCAACATAAGATATTCAGTATAAAATGTCATTGATATAAAACCAATAAATATTATATACACAGAGAAAACTACAAATTACGGAATTAATCATCATACTGTGGGGCTAAAGCTACAGTACACGTTCACATCAAGCCCGGATTCCGGTCCGGAGTCCGGAGAAAAAATCGTGGGAAATGGGTTCATTGTTAAAAAATAGGACTGTTCACATCAAATTCGTACGATTTCCAATCCGAACTCCGGATCCGGACTGATGGATTGGAAAGCCATTTGTATCCTGAAATCGCACATTTTTTTTTTCTTGGCCCAATCAGCAACAAGCTTGGTTGATTCAAACCAATCGAACGCATACGTACTTAACCAAAACAACCGTGCGCGATGTGAACGTAGCATTCAAATAACGTAGCACATATGGCTTGAAAGAGTGTTCAATATTTATGTTGAATAGACAGCAAACATGTAGTGTTTTCTTGTTCTGTGTTTCTTGCCTTTGGCCTAAGCATACTGTACAGGTGTCGGCTAACTTTTACCCATGCCAACTACTACCCATGCCAATTCATACCCACTTTGGCAAACCTGTACCCAAATATAGGTTAACTAGTGCCCAACATTGGCTAACTTGCACCCATGTCTATTCGTACCTACTTTAGCATGATAATGAAATAAAATCTAATAATAAATACCTCCTACTAATATATACTGTACTACAGTTGTCTACCAAAATGAAATCTAACTTTTGAAATACCGTACTTCTTAATTTGCAGTAAACTATAACATAAGATAAGATAAGATAAACTTTTATTTGTCCAAACATTAAAACATGTTGGAAATTTGTTTTCCCATGGCGTATTTACATACAAAATACTGTACATAGTAAAAATCAATAAAAAACATATATAAAATACATGAAAATACATAAAATATTATTCTTATTACAATTATAATCATTATTACAATCATTATCATGGGATTATTATAGGGATATGCACTACTCACTACTACTGTAATGGTGCCTCCTTGTTATAGCTTTGACGCCTCAACGATTATGAGTTTATAAATTTTATTCCTGCTGCATTAAAATAATGTTTGAAATAAAAAGATAGATCTCACACCAAGATTGGGTATGGGCTAGCCAACTAAGGGTATGAGCTGGCCAAAATTATGGGTATGAATTTGGATACAAGTTGTGGGTACGCGTTGGCATGGGTATCAGTTAGACTGTATTCCTGTACAGAGCAAAAACGTCTATGTTCTCTCGAGCAAATGAAAATAAAGATGATGCTTGAGTAAAATTTTATTTTGATCTGAAGATTTATACTGTACAACTTACTTGAGGCTTCTCTGCTTGCTGCCGTCGACTGCAGTTCTCGCCAAATATAACAGTATTCTCGGGAAGAAGCTCACTGCTGGTAAGCTGGCAAAACGCCCCCACAATACAACCGCTGGATAACTCGGTTTGATGACCTACAACAGCTAGATTTTAAAATATAATCAAATTTATGAGAGAAGAATAACAAGAAAATTGTAAAAGGTTAACAAATAATATTAACAAATGACAGATTGGGGGAAACCATTTTTAAGTACAATAATATTAGGAGATGATGATGACGCTTTTGGTAGTGCCACTGACGAAGACAATGACGACAATGATGATCATTAATAATAATAACAATAGCAGAAACTGCCACCACAACAACATCATCAACAACAATAAAAATATAAATAAAAAATGATAAACAAGAATTTCTTTAGCACTGCTATTACTTCTGGAGTAGGAATGACACTACAGAATTGTATAAAACAGCAGCAATTTAATAAGTAGCAGATACACATGCGTAAATTATGTTTTCTAATGTAATCATTGTAGTAATGTGCTCCAAAAAAAAGATTAAAAAATGGCAATCTAAGGTACAAAAATTTACTCAGGACATTGATAAAGGTCAACCTGGTTCACCAGCAACGTTGTACAGAACATGACTTCCTAGGAGATATGGACAATCGTTTATATTTAATTGTATACGAATAGAGTCTTAATCTGAAGCTGCTGGTGAGAATGTATTAAAGAATATCTCAGTAAAACCATTGGAGACATAAGAAATATTAATTGATGGTAAAACCTGGTTCTTAACAATAACATTAACTAAGAATGGCAAATAAGGAAAAATAAAAGTTTATACTCCGACTTTTACCTACCTTTGGATTCTATTATGTTATTATTACCGACCCTGAGAGCTTCGCAACCTGGATACTAACTTGTTAAGTGGAAAATATCAGCAAAGTAAGTACCATCTTAATGTATAACACATATATCGCTAGACTTATTGTCTGATTTAAGGCAATTCATCATTTAAAACATCAAACGGAAAATGCATTAGAATTAAAAAGCCATTGAATTATGTCTGTTTTGAATGTTTAGCTGCTCAATTTACTAAACATGAGAAAATACTAAAGTGTTAAACTGTCAGGCGATAGAAGCTTACAACATTTCAACCATGACCTCTGTGTTCATATTTTACAATCATCCTACATAGCAGTTAAAATTGTCATTTAGAGTGAGTAAAAAGAATTAGCTTCTCGTCCAACTGTTATAAAAATAGGAAGGAGGAGCATGTTTGAACTACCGTTAGTAGTATTGTACCAACTAGGAAGGATTAAAATGCTGAAGTAATATTTTTTTTTTAAATTAAAAATCCTGGCAGCTGCATAAAAAAATAAGCAATTCATAATAAGGAAATTTGATGCATACACCCTAATCCTTAACATTGGATGAGTTTAGTTGTTTGATATCAGATCAACTGGTGAAACAGTGTGGTGGAGAGTGGCTTTCTGTCTCTGTTAGCCCCTTAATTTACTTTTATTTTATTGGTCTTTGGTCTCGGTCTTTTGTTTAGACTAGGTTAGTTGTGTGTGACCTGAAGCCATAATACCATACTAGGCATGCTAGTCACTGGTAGCCAAATACTCTTGTAGGCCTGATTTGCTTTTGATTAATACTTCAACAGTATATGATGCATATATGTAAAGACATATATGACAAAGTTTATTAAGTACCGGACTGCGAATGTCTGAATTGATAACACAATTTTAGAATGTATGGCGGTTGTTATAGTTGTTAGATATTTAGGAAGTGTGCAACGTAGGGTGGTACCAAGCAAAAATTGTTGGGTTTTACTCTGAAAAAAAATAATAAATCTGTTGCCCACTACCTAAGTATATAAGTTCTTAAATTGGATCCAACTTTGTAAGGAGAAAAGGCCGAAGTGCTTGTAGAAGTACATAATGATCTATTTTTTCAGATATTGGTGTAATACTGTCAACATTTTAATTCTGCATTTTATAATTAGTTTTTGTATGTTATAATAGTTCAAGTAACCTGCAGTTTTGAAAAATTATCAAGGTGTTATTCGGTAGGATATGACACTGTGGAAGAACATCGACTTTGAATTAAAACTGTGTAGTTCGAGTCTGCAATTTGATCATTTGTTTGTGTTCAATGGCCAGCATGTTCCATGGTTCCTGCCCCCTCACCATAACATAATCCTTGGTAAGATGTGCTACATCAAACTGACATAATATCAAACTTTTTAAATTGAGAAAGACTTTTTTCCAAAAATCCAATTCATTGACCAAATTTCAGACGACTATACTCTCAGTGACAAGCAAAGGATACGGCTTCCAACCTCCATCACATTATTGGCTCCGATGATCATTGTCTGTGGAGCTGGCTTTGGTGAAGATGGCTCATTTTTATCTAGTTTTCTGCGAAAAAAACAAAAAAACTTTTTAAAATATTGAATCACTTGCACCAAACAAAACTATCCTAATGGTGTGAAATACAGTAGAAGCCCTCCTTTGGGACACCCCCTTAGGGGACACCGTTTTGGATGCAAACTGAGGAAAAACATAAATGTTTAACACTACAGCCAATCCTTATTCAGGGGACACCCTATTATGGAATACTTCTTTCCTAGATGTGTCCCATTAAGGCGACACTTTTTTTATTCTTTGTTTCGCGTACTTATTTTTTGTAAAGATTATCAGAGGAGGGCAGAACAAAATTAAAAATAAAATTTTGTTTTCCTATTTAGCAAATAGTTTTGCAAAACATCCAAACGGAGGAGAAATTAAAAATTAAATTTTATTGGTGAATGTAATGATAATAATGTTATGATGGTTAAATGCTTCAAATTTATATAATTATGAAGAAAAATACATATCTTATCTTTGGAGATTTCAAGGCAGCAGAGGGCGTAATAAAAATTTTAAAAAATTTTATTTTTTTCTAAAATTTCCACTTTTTCGTGGCGGCGGGTGCGCTAACTGGCAAAAATAAAATTTTATTTTTATTTGAAATCATTTTCAGTTGTATATAACATTCCAGGTTTTTGTTGACAATTTGTTTTGGTGCAGTGTTAGTTACTGTTCTAATGATAATTACTGTACAATTATTTATGTAAATTTTGTGAATTTGTACTATAAAACAATGAATAAGGCCACTGTAACATCAATCTGTATCATGGAGTGTATTTAACTGGCATTAAAACACCTAAACTACTGTATAAACCAAGCTTGTATTTAATTTACAGTATTTTGTTTTCTGAAATTGATGTACAGTGTATGTGACTGTAATATCTCGGAAAAGAAGCCTGCGCTATCTTCAAAAGAAGCCCATGGGCTTCTTTTTGAGATGGGCTTCTTTTCGAGGCTAATTTTGCAAACTAAAAAGTGGGGCTTTAATTCAAGATGGGCTTCATCTCGAGATTAAGCCCGCTGGGCTTCAATTCAAGGTTTTACGGTAATATCAACGCCGGTTCGAATGGCACGCTTGTCTGTTCTGGAGGTAGAACAAGTCTTCATGGATAAGGAATATAAAGCATAGGCCTAACTGTATGATTGGCTCATGTGCACTACAAAGAACCCAGTACATCCTGGGAGATGAGTAGGGGGGTTACCCCAGTGTGATGGTCCATACAGCCTGTTGTGGAAAGACGAGACGAGAGTAGCTGGTAACGGTTTACCGGGTAGCTCAGGCACGAAGTGACCCTTACTGTAGGGGAGAAGAAAGTTACTGTACAAACTAGTCCACGCCTCTACAAGTACGACGATCCTCACATCAGAGAGGCCTGTATTTATCAGAAGATAGTTAGATAGAAGCCTCATTTAGAGGATTAGGGAGTAAAGTTGCATTTATTCATAAAAAAAAATTATCATTGTGTTCCAAGATTTTAACCTACAGTATCCTTCTGGGATTGGGAGATAAGAATATTAGTCACTAAAATACAGCACCACTTATTTCTAACTTATTACTAAATATTCACTAAAATGCTTCCATATACATATCAACCAGATTATTGATATAGTATTCCTTTATGGTCTTAACATAATCAGCTAAGGAAGTTGCCCCTGATGAATAGAGCAGCATGCTTAGATTCAGGAAGTTTGAGGTTAGAAGATGCATTATCCTACCCTTCAACAGCTGCTCTGGCTGCAAGTTAATCAATGTTATTGTTAACTAACAGTGCTATTTAAATACAAAGCATTCAAAAGCACATTACTAAACATATATATCTGATCTGATCAAACTCAAATATGCACATGATCAGTAGGTTAACAAACAAGTTCATCCAATCTGTTTGTACCTGCTGTGAACTTAAGAAATGGCGGGGGAACCCCGAGCTCTATCTACGCTGTCAAGCAACATTATCAATCAATCAATCATTTATATAGCACCATTCCAACAGTCATTGCTTGTGGTGCCATTCAAAAAAGAGATTATAGAAAAAAGGCGTGCCTTGAGTAGTGACTTAAAGCTGTCAAATGAAGACAAATGCTCAAATGAAGCTTATTCCAGAGATTTGGTCCGACAGTGCTAAAAGTATGATCTCCCCAACTACATTTGCTCCTTGCGATGTCCAGGAGCGCAGTTGGCTAGATAATTCTCGCCTACTCTCTTCAATGTTTAGTAAGTCAGATATATTTTGGGAACAACCATTTTTTAAATGTAAAACATAGCTGTGACTTGCCCATTAATGGATCCAACATGATTTCATCATGCCCAAATATGGGCCCAGATATTTTATACAGTAAATTTAGCTCTAGCCATGGCCATTCTCTCACATTACTTAAGTCTTGCCTTTTATATAATCTATGAATCACCATCTCTTATTTTCTCACAGTGGAATGATATGGGCCACAGGTGTTGATAATAATTATGTATGATATTGATCATGATTATAATGATGGGGATGATGATGACAGAGATACTGTATAATAATAATGACAAAATGGTGATGATGATGACGTTGATGATGCTAAAGATTATGATGATGGTACAGTACTTGTCATGATGATGATAATAAAGATTATATTGATAATGATGATTATGCTAAGGATGATAATGATTTACAGTATCACCTAAGGGGCGTACGGTGAAAAATCTAAGGGGGGGTTGAAACGAAAGCGCAGGGGGCAAGCTGAACTCGGAGAATTCGCGGGGTG